TCAGAAGCCTTGCTGGCTTCTCTTCCAATTTTCTTTTGTATTGCTTCTTCTGCTTGTGATGCTCTGAACGATGGAATAGGCTGCCTATTTATAGGCTCATGCAGGAGCAAAGTTGTGGCTGTGCAGAAATCCCACCAACCAAGTCACGTTCCATGGCTCCCAATTTTCTTCAATTAATAATGCAAGCATTAGCATTTGTCTGCCATCAATGTATGCCACCATTGGAGCCATAATCAACAATCTCCACCTTGGCTCCAATAACACCATATGCAAACCAAACGAGAAAAGATGTCTCCAACTGTGTCGTAAGGCACTCAAATACCCGAAGGCTTTCAAATGTGCATGATGTTGACCAAGTTCAAACAATGAACTTGATCGCTGTGATCATCTTAGTCAGCATGTCTGCGGGATTATCAAGAGTCTTCACCTTCATGAGTCGTATGATACCTTCTTCGATAATCTTCCGCACAAAGTGAAAGCGGACATCTATGTGCTTCGCCCGTGCATGGTAGACTTGATTCTTGGCCAAGTGGATAGCACTCTGGCTATCGCAGTATACAGAAATGTTTTTCTGTTCAACTCCAAGATCACCAAGTAAACCTCGTAACCAAATAGCTTCCTTCACAGCCTCTCCAACTGCCATATACTCTGCCTCTGTCGTAGACAAAGCCACCATAGACTGTAAAGTAGACTTCCAACTCACTGGAGCTTTCGCCAGTGTAAACACATATCCAGTCGTTGACCGTCGCTTATCCAAATCACCAGCATAGTCGGAATCCACATATCCGACCACACAGTGTCCAAGTGATCCATCTTGCTGAAGCACCAATCCAAAGTCCAAGGTCTTCAGAATATACCTCAGAATCCATTTCACTGCCTGCCAATGTCCTCTTCCAGGATTATGCATATACCTGCTCACCACTCCAATGGCATGTGAAATGTCGGGTCTGGTACACACCATCGCATACATCAAGCTACCAACCGCATTTACATATGGGACCTTCATCATGTACTCATGTTTCTCATCTGTGGTAGGAGATAACGCTGAACTGAGCTTGAAATGAGGAGCAAGTGGTGTACTTACAGGTTTTGACTTTTCATTTAAGCCAAAACGTTGAAGTACTTTCTTCAAATATTGCCTCTGCGACAAACAAAGCTTTCCCATCTTTCTGTCTCTGCTTATCTTCATCCCAAGTATCTTCTTTGCCTCTCCAAGATCCTTCATCTCAAATTCTTGATTCAATTGAACCTTCAACTTCTCGATCTTTGACTGACTCTTTGATGCAATCAGCATATCGTCCACATACAAGAGTAAGTAGATGAAATATCCATCTGGTAACTTGTAGAAGTAGACACAATGATCATACTTGCTCCTTGTGTATCCTTGCCCAATCATGAACTTGTCGAATCGTTTGTACCACTGTCTGGGAGACTGCTTCAGTCCGTACAACGACTTGTTCAATTTGCAAACCCAATCTTCTTTACCAGCAATGGTAAAACCTTCTGACTGAGTCATGTAGATTTCCTCTTCCAAATCTCCATGTAAGAACGTCGTCTTCACATCGAGTTGAGCTAGCTCCAAATCAAACTGAGCTACCAAGGCCAACAAAATCCGAATGGAGATATGTTCCACAACTGGAGAAAATACCTCATGTAGTCGATACCTTCCTTCTGAACGTAGCCTTTTGCTACCAATCTTGCCTTATAGCGGACATCAGTCTTGTCGGGAAATCCTTCTTTCTTCGCAAATACCCATTTGCACCCAATTGCCTTCTTTCCACTTGGTAACTTCGCCAGCTTCCAGGTATTGTTCTTCCGGAGAGATTCCATCTCTTCCTCCATAGCTTTCTTCCACTTCTCACTTTCAGAACTCTTGACTAACTCCTTATAAGTGATAGGAATATCAGCATCAATAACCGGAAGTGCAAAAGCCACCACAACATATCGAGCAGGCATTTTCAATGTTCTCGTCGGCTTACGAAGTGCAATGGGAAGTTCCTTCTGAGGTTCTTGGGTGGAAACCTCATCGTCTTCAGAATCTTCAACATCCTCCTCTCCCATAGGAGGTTCTTCGTTCGCTAGAACAAACTTTGCAGTCTCAAACTCCACCTCCTGTGGACTACTCTCCACCTGCTGTTGAGCACCACCAACTTGCTTCTTCAACATGGTTTGCTCATCAAATGTGACATCCCTGCTAACAATGATCTTCTTTGATTCAAGACACCAAAGATGATATCCTTTCACCCCTGGTGTAATCCCCATGGACAACGACTTCTTAGCTCTGGGATCCAACTTTGATTCATTCACATGATAGTAAACAATCGAACCGAATATGTGTAGAGAATCATAATCATTAGCACATTTGTCATACCAAACTTCCATGGGTGTCTTGTCTCCAATTCCAGCAGATGGTAACCGGTTGATAAGATGGCTCGCATATGTCACAGCCTCAGCCCAGAACCATTTGTCTAATCCAGCATTAGACAACATACACAGAATCTTCTCCAGTAAAGTTCGATTCATGCGTTCTGCCACCCCATTCTGTTGCGGATTATTTCGAACGGTGAAGTGTCTGACAATGCCATCATCTTGACAGATTTTTGCTAGTGGATCACTCATGTACTCTCTCTCGTTGTCTGTTCGGAGATGCTTGATCTTCCTCCCAGTCTGGTTCTCCACCATATTTTTCCATTTAAGGAAGCAATTCAACACTTCATCCTTGGTCTTCATCACGTACACTCATACTCTTCTTGAAAAGTCATCAACAAAAGTGACAAAATATCGGCCACCACCTAACGAGGTCTCTCTTGTAGGCCCCCATACATCAGAATGGACATAATCCAGAATACCTTTAGTGTTGTGGATAGCCGTCCCAAACTTCACTTTTGATTTCTTTCCAAGAACACAGTGCTTGCAAAAGTCCAACTTGCATAGTCTGGCTCCTCTCAGCACACCTTGTTTGACGAGGTTCTGCAAAGCCTTCTCTCCAGGATGTCCCAGGCGCATGTGCCAAAGCCTGGTGACCTCAGAATCCTTATCTTCTCCAGCCGTAACAACAACTGTTCCAATAACCGTACTACCTTTGAAATAGTACAAGTTATTCTTCCTTACTCCTTTCAGGACCACCAATGCACCAGAAATAACTTTAAGAATTCCATCTCGAATAGTCACAGTATAACCTTTAGATTCCAAGGTTCCCAATGAGATGAGATTCTTCTTCAAATTTGGTACGTACCGAACCTCCGACAGAATTCTTGTAATTCCATCATGACACCTCAGTCGGATTGAACCTATCCCAGTTGCTTGTAGAGCGCCATTGTTGCCCATGTAAACAACTCCTCCATCTAGTTCTTCAAAGTTGAAGAACCACTCCTTGTTGAAACACATATGATAGGTGCAACCCGAGTCCATAATCCACTCGTCAGAGTGAGATTTTGATGATGTGCCGATCAATACAAACTTTGATTCGTCATCTTCATATTTGGTGACAAAGGCGTCTGAAGTCGACTTTGAAACGGCATTCCCATTTTCTTTCTTCTTCAGCTTTGGACAATCCTTCTTCCAGTGTCCAGTTTCATGACAAAAGGCACATTCATCCTTCGCAAGTCTGCCTTTTGAGATCTACCCTTCTTCTTCTTTCCAGGCTTATGAGTCTGTTCACGACTTCGAGCAGCATAGGCCTCCCCTGCTGAAGTTGAACTGTTTTCATTCTGATCCTTTTTCCCGATCTCCCGATTGTACAAAGCTGCGCATACTTCATCGAAACGGATTTGCTCCTTTCTATGAAGTATCATAGTGATAAGGTTCTCGTATTCTTCGGGTAGAGAGTTCAAGAGGAGAAGAGCCTTATCCTCATCCTTGACCATTTCATCAAGGTTTTCCAACTCCGTCACCAGCTTATTGAACTCCGATATATGGTTGTACATTGTAGTGTCCGATTGGTATTGCAGGCGGAACAATTTCTTCTTCAAGTACAACCGGTTCTGGCAACTCTTCGTCAAGAACTGCTTCTCCAACTCTCTCCAAAGTTTGCTTGCAGATGTCTCCTTCATATAAGGGAGTTTTAGCTCCCTTGTTAAACACGAACGGATTACTACGCAAGCATTGCGGTTCATTCATACCCACTCGGTATCCTCCAGGTGTGTCGGTTTCTGCGGATCAAGAGCAACAAGAAGCTCTTGCTGATAAAGCGCATCCATCATCTCGCCTTGCCACAAACTGAAATTATTGGTCCCGTTGAATTTCTCCACCTCGATCTTCGCATTCGTCACCACCGTTCTTCCCGATGACGCTGAGGATCGGGCGGTCGACGACGATGATGAGCCAACTGGTGGAATCGCAACTATCGCCGGTGTTTCGGTGGTCTCCTGGGCCATAACTCCAAATCACAATTTTTTTTTTAATTTTTCAAAACGACCCGTGCCTTGGTAAAAGGTAACCAGGCTCTTATACCAATTGTTGTGCGGAAGCGTATCGGGTCTCAAATGCGAGGCGATGGAATCAAACGAGAGAAAATAAAAGACACCGGGATTTAACGTGGTTCGGCAGAATGCCTACGTCTACGGTGAGGAAGAAAAAAACAAACTCCACTATATCGGTGAACAAATGTGAAAAAAAAAACACACTCAACCTCACTTCCCAATTTCCCCAAGAACACCCTTAATTTCTCTCACAATTTAGAAGAAAAAAATTCAAATGCTCAAAAGAACCAAATGAGAAAAAAATTATTTTTTTTTTCTCCTCTCTGAGAAGCCTTGCTGGCTTCTCTTCCAATTTTCTTCTGTATTGCTTCTTCTGCTTGTGATGTTCTGAACGATGGAATACGCTGCCTATTTATAGGCTCATGCAGGAGCAAAGTTGTGGCTGTGCAGAAATCTCACCAACCAAGTCACGTTCCATGGCTCCCAATTTTCTTCAATTAATAATGCAAGCATTAGCCTTTGTCTGCCATCAATGTATGCCACCATTGGAGCCATAATCAACACTCACAAACATTTGAATCATAACGAAAGAAAACTATATTATTGTTTTCCACGAAAAGAATCACTTTACAGTTCATCCTGTAAATTTTGTCCTTTTCTTTATAACATAGTATTGTCAGATTCTATGAACTTCCAAGAATGTATAGAGAGAGATTCTTTCACATGGAAAGAGCTGAATATAGAAGCTGGTTCCAAGTGTCGGGTAAACCAGGGAGACACCAATGGCTGCAGTCAGTGCCGCCATCACCAACATAAGTGGATGGATGAGCATCCTTTCTCAATTGCGACAACATCGTAATATCGAGCAAGTAGACAGACGTTCTCATCGAGCTCAAGACTTTGGCCAGGACGGCTGTAGCCGGCGGTGGGCCGCCCGGGTAAGTTGACCCACTCAGGGGCTCCGTTTGCCCTATACATGTCTTCTTCGGCTCGTTCCATTCCCTTCCCCTGTTTCCGAAATGTAAAACAAGAAACGTTATTGAGTAAAAAATTACATATGTTTTCAAGTTCATGTTTTGGTATCATGTACGGTACTAGGGCTAGATGTGGGTATCCAAACATGGTCCCTGTGGTACCCCATATCTAGGAACTGGAGCCGTAACAAATGTGGTACGAATGCATGTCGGTTGATTACCCTAGTCCGATAGTTTAGGTTCGGTACGTGAGTTTCGGGTTCCGCAGCCTAGTTACCGAACTCAAGAGTAACCCGGGGAGAGGAGAGAGAGGGAGGTGAGACCAAGACGGCCTGAGATCGCATCGTGGGTCGGGGTGACACTACTGGCGAGCGACGAGCCTCATCGGGTGACGGGCAAGGGGCAACACTCGCGAGAGAGGCTGCGGGTGGCAAGGGTCTCACTAGGGTTTACAAAAAAAAAGATTGGATCATAAGGATCGAGTTGGGTACGTACGATTAGGGTTTTAAATTTCTCGTGTCCTCGCCGCCTCTCCTCGTTCCGTCACGACATCCGTGGCTACCCGAACCCTCGCCGCGCCTTATAGGTATCCGAAACTCGAGTACCATACCATCACGAGACCGAAAGAACGTACCGGTAACCCTAAAACTCCGAGGGGAGAAAATCGAGACCGAGTAACCTAAAAATCCCGGGTACCCGGCAGCAGCCGCCCGTCGATGAACTACGAATCTAAAAGATTGAAAGGCGTATATGTATGTAATGTACTCACTGGTAATGCGTGGGAGAGATGCCTTGGAAGAAAACTCGGGTCTTGGAAGAATCAACGTTGAGGTCAACCCATTTGGCCCACGTGCTTAATCCTTTGTAAAACGCCTCCAAACGGTCCATATCGCTCTTCAAAGCAGACCCATCTCTCACATAATCCCATCTAAACATCAAAAAAAAAAATGTTAACAAGGATCATATCGATATTATAATAAAAATAAAATTCGGTGGGTCTAATAATATAGTGGAATATTTATATATATTAATATAAGAGAGGGGGGAAATGAAAAATTTTAATATACCCTTGTGATTTTTTCCCTTTGTGGAGCCACCAATGCCAAGAATTGAAGATGAGAACGTCCATTCCTTTCCAAAGGTTGGATCCACCATCTATGGCGTCTAGGTTAAGGACTCTGCCTACGCTTTCTTTGGAGATATCCACTAGGTACGGTGTTCGGTATAGATACAATGTGACGCCGTATTCCTAATCATAATATAAAATAAAATTAAATGATAATGATTAGAATTAACAATCATGATCTATGGAGATATATATATTTTGCAAACATCTAGTTGTTCCATTGTCATGGATATTGATGTGATGCACCCCTAGCCACATGAAGAAATGTATATGTTAAAAAAGAAAATCCAATATAAGTGTATAAACTTTACAAAATGTATCATATAAATAACTAAATTTTAAATTTGATCTAATTTATACCTTTAATGTTAAAATATTTCAAACTGATATATCAAATGGTAAAATATTCTAAATGGATATCTCAATTTACAAAATCGATAGCAATTATCAAACTCGACTCTGACGATGATATATAAACTAAATATTAATTTTTAACATAAAAAATAAATTGACGTTGTAAATTGATTTCGAGTTGGGATATTAATTTAGAATATTTTAACATTTGAGAAATTAATTTTTATTCTAACAGTTGATGTATTAAATAGATCAAATTAAAATTTTATGCATTTATTTTATATAAAATCACTTAGACAATTAAGAATCTTTCGTGGAATTATAGATTTTTTATTTGCACGGAACGTGAAAAGATTTTTTTTTTTAATTTTATTTTGGGATTTATGATATTTCCGGGACCGGTTTTTAATAAGTAACGATTCGTAATATTATTTTAAGTTGGAAATTAAATTAGGGAAAAAAAAATGTCAAGAGAAGAGAACAAACACAAGGAGAGAAAGAAGCAACAAGACGAAGGAGTGGTTGTCATTCATTAGCTGTTGTGTTACAGAGACTCATCATGCATATGCATTAGCTTATTTTCTTTTCTTTTCATTTTTTTATTAAATTGTTTTTTTTAGAGTAGATTTCTGAATTATATTAACTTTTAAAATAAAAAAAAAGTTTAATTTTATTTTGTAAGGGAAAGTATAAAATAAAATCCCAAAGGGCATAAAATGCCAAACTCGGAAAATGAGTCAAGTAAAAAAAAAACAAAGAGAAATCAGATGTTCTCAGCTTTTTTACCGATCAGAAGCTAGAGTTTGAGAGGAGACCTAAAGATAGCATTAGATATTTTCCATATATATATATAATATATATATTAGATTTCAGCATTCTATTATTACTAAAAAGAATATTATTATCATTAGAAATAGTTTATTTTAATCATATTTTTTGCTATGTAAATATTTATTTTTTTTTATTTACTTTATTTTAAAAAATTATATCTACAATTAGGTGTTGAAAAATATTTAACATTGAATTCTTGAATTCTTAAGAAAAAAACTACAATGGCACATTGTGATTTAACAATATGTTAGCTTAGTTGTTGTTAGAACTTATTTTTATTTTATTTCAGTAAAAAATATTAAGATTATTGTTGTAGTTTTGACTTCCTATGCATTAAATTAGTAATTAGACTAATAAATAATTCCACAAAAAAGATTAAAATTGACATGTGAAATTTTCTGTGCACAACATGAAATTAAAAAAAAATATCCTTTTGTAAATTTATATTTATTTAGGGGTGTAAAACGGGATGGTCCGACCCAGCCCAATCCAACTCGTTCCAATCTGAAAAAATTTTAGTCTTTTTTGGGGGAGCCATAAATATATCAGCCCAACCCATATCGTCTTAACCCGTGAGCCAAACGAGTCGTTCCGCGAACCAAATATATAATTTTTAAAAATAAAATTTTAATACTAAAAATATTTAAAACTAATTTTATATTTAAAAAATATTTAAAATATAATAAAAAATAAAATTTAAACCAAAACTAACGAAATATGTAATAAAAAAATATAATTTGTATATAGAAATATTAAAAAAATTTTAAAAAATTTTTTGGCCCACGAACCAACCCGGCTCGTGATAGGATGACTCGTTTGATCCGATTTTTTCTGGGCTCAAATATTTTGAGTCCACCTCGAAAAAAATATGATCCTACGAGTCGTCCCGTAGTAAGCATTGTCGCATCTTTATATAAATTTTTATTTTAAAAAATATCTTTTTTAAAAAATATTTTGGTCCATTAGCTGCCTTTTTATGTGGCCAAATGGTCTAACACCATTAATCTACGTGACAAACATGTACTATCGAGGATTGATTAGATTTTGTTTTTTTTATTGAAATTTCACATAAATATTTCCAATCAAAATTAATTTTTTTAAAATGAATAAATAATAAAAACATTACCTCGAAGGAGATGGAAGAGAGTGGGCCATGCTTCGAAAAAGTCGTCTTGGCGTTTGGTACCGACGCATGGATCATACATCCCAACGATTCCCACATGTTCAGACTCAGTGAGTCGCCCACGAACAGGACTCGTTTCCCTCTCCATCTCCTCAAGAATTCAGTCCCATTGAACCTATACATTACAGGAAAACGAACAGCAATTAAAACCCACCAACAGCTGTTTTAATGATTAGGGTTTGCTTTTACATATCCTAAGATTGGAGATTATATAATATATATATATATATATTATGAATAATTGTAGAAAAAAAACTCTTTTATTGTTAATTATACTGGTTTCGAACCAAAATTAATATCACACGGATTTTCTTTCTGATACCATGTAAAAACAAAAGAGACAAAATTTAATATTTTTATTCATTGAAACACCCGAAAAAATCTTTAGTATATCTCTATTTATCATCGACCATCAAATAAAATAACAGTTTTAACTAAATTAGAAAATCTACTTTTATATAAAACAGAAGATTTATATCTAACATAAATATTAATTGGCGTATGAATAAAGCATTAGAAAATCTACATATGCATGTATACGTATGTACCTGGGAATGTCGCATGAATCCGGTTGCCAAGAATATTTGAGAAACTGCTTGTCGGGTCGACCGAATTTGAGACAATTAAACTTATCGTCGATGAAGGGACATGAAGAAGAATCATAGAGAGGGTAAGAGATGTCAATGCTCCACCTTCCTTGGAACAAGTTACACCCACTTGTCTGCTTCCCGCCTCTCAGGAGCCTCCCTACTCCGCCGTCGCCACCGGGCACGGCGGTTTCGTTGCCGTTGTTCTGGTGGCTGACGTGGCGTCTGTTCCCCGAATCGGCCGAGGCTTTGTCAGCTCCGGACAAGAATATGGTCAGTAGCAGAAGTGTAAGAAGTGAGAGAGAGATTAGTCTCTGACCCATTTCTCTCTCTCTATTTTCAAGGGTGTGTTACTTTTATGAAATCAGCCTGAGTTTGGTTATATATATATATATATATATGTATGTATATATAATATATATATTTCTGTGTTGTCAAAAGAAGAAGTTGAGTCGGACAAAGAAGGCGTCTTTCCCAATTTACCATTCATTTCTGATTTCTTTCCCATAATGTAAAATTTTTTATCCTATCTGTCTTTTCTATTAATCTTTTCAAATTTTATTCCTATTTAATCATTTTAGCTCCTCATTAACTATAATAAGACCATAATATTCTTCTTAGGTTACCATTATTCCACTTTTGAACTTAGTATTTTTTTATGTTAGTGCATGCATCTGTGTGCACGTATGAATATATAATTATAGATAGGGTTGTGAATCGGTCCGATCCGGCCCGAGTCCGCACTCGACCCGAAGGTTTCAGATTCGGGCCGACCCGATTTTTTTCGGGTCTAAATAGTTAAACCCGAAATCCGGCCATATATATATCGGGCTCAGGTCGGATCGGGCCGGCCCGCATAAATCCTTTGTAAAATTTATTTTTTTTAATTTTTTCTTTTTTTAAAAAAAAAATATCGGGCTTACGGACCGGTCCGATTCGAGCCCGAAACCCGATTCGGGCCGGATCCGAAAGCCTGATTTTTTTCGGGCCAAAAAATTTAGGTCCGAAGCCCTGTAATTATCGGGCCGGGCTCCGGGCCTCAGACCCAAATTGGCACCCCTAATTATAGACCCAAATCGGGCGTGTAGAGAGATTAATTCTGTGTATATATAGTTTGTGTAATAAATTATACTTTTTTTTGTGTATATATATATCCATGTGTGGATGTGGGTGTGCATATATATATATATATATATGTGTATATAGTGGGCAAATCTTGGTTACATTGGATTTCTTACTAAAAAATTTCATAACTTGGTCCAACATTGACCTATTTAGAATATTGGCAAAATGTGGAATAGTCTAAAATAAAATCAAATTTTCGACAATTGTGGCAGAAAAATCAAAAGATGTATTTGTAAATATGTTTTTTTAGGTTAATAAATATATCCTTTTGTTTTTTCGCAGTGGTGGGTTCACATGCTAGACCCGTTGGAAATTCAGACGAAATCCAGCTGCGGATTGATCCGATGCAATCTGACTTGGATGATGAGATCACGGGTCTCCACAGCCAAGTCAAGCAGTTGAAAAATGTAAGAACCCTAGAATTCTTTCTCGTCCTTTTTTTTAGGACATAATATTCCGATGATTTAGGAAACCGTAATGGACAACCGGTTCGTTTGGATATGTTCCATGTGTGTGGTTCTCAAGATTTGTGGCTCTTTTTCTCGAGCATTTGGATGATATCATAGGATTATAATTTGGATTGGAGTGTGAATCCTAATGTTTAGTGCTTTGAATTAGGGTAGTGTAGAGATTTTGTGTTGCTTCTCTTGCATACACATAGGTTTCAACTTTGAATATCTTGCCTTTGAAAATGGTGGGGGGAGGGACAGATCTTGGAAGGATATATGGTGAGGTCTTGCTTAGTGGAAAGTGGAGCAGGCTTTGTCTTTCTGCGGAATTTTAAAATATAATTTATATTATGATATACTATATTTTAAATTACACATTTTATTTAAATTTTGTGTGTATGTATAGGTTATGATTTTTTATTAAAATTATATTTATGAGTATTTTTTTATTGGGGGTTCCGTGAATGAATAAAAGATTTAGTGGACATTCTGTTTGGTCTGCATGTCACGGGGGAACATCTTAATCATTTTCCATCAACCTTCACATGCTTCTACGCCATGTGTTTGTGATTGTGGTTCTTTTTTAATTATATATAATTTTACTTTTATTTTTTTTGTATAAATTTTACTTTTATTTTACTTATCATATGCAGGTAACATGGACTGGTTTTTATAAGTAGTTTTTTAAAATTTAATAAATATTATTCTTAAATGTAAGATTAATCAAAAGTAAAATAATTAATTTTAAAAAAACGATTTTTTAAATCGAATAGATTAAATATGAAGTTAATTCAATATAGAATTTGGAAAAAGGAGTGATATTATTTTTAAATAATATTTCTTAAAAAAATTCTGTATCCAAAAAAGTTTAATATGACATAATATAACTAATACCAATTTTTTAACAACAAAAATATACCATATTTTAGTCAACAATTGAAAAAATATCATATGTAGGTTAGAAGTTTAAACAAACTTATCCGTTTCTCTTACTTTTTTTTTGTATAATCCGAAAGTTTAAGGAATATTTATCTCAATTATATTTTTTTTATCAAATTATATTTTTATCTTTTTTTCAATTTAAAAAATTTAAATTACTATAACTCAAAAAATTCTACCATAATTTAATCAAATTTAAATTTTTATATTTTTTAAAATTATAATAAATTTTAAATTTTTTATTTAGAGAATGATAATTCTTAAATTTTAAAAATGTTCTTTTTTCAAAAATATTTTTTTTTAAAAGTAAGAAAAATAAAAATATAATCGCTATGTCATGACTCCACTTGCACTCCATATTATTAGATGACGACTCTAATGCTTGGTTATAGAATGAACCAATCAACAAATAAAAAATCATTATATTTTGGGGTTTTTCTTTTTTAATAAAAGGAAAATTCCATAAAAATACCTTAATTTGTTTAAATGAACCATATAAATACATCAATTTAGAAAATTGTTAAATAAAAACCCTAATTTAGAAATTTATACCAAATTGGTATTTATTTGGTGATGCTGTTATCGATTAATGATGTATTTATTTTATATAAATTGATTTATTTAGCAATGTGAAAATTAGGATGTTTACTGACCGGATTGGGATGAATTACTATAATTTCATATACAGGCCTTGGGCCCTTTTCTTGTTGTAGCCCACGAGAATCGGCCCATTTAGTTGGTTTCACATTTATTTATTCATCTGTTAAGTGTGTGTCTATATATATATATATATTAATATATAATATATAATATATACCTTGATGATAATTAATACTAATATTTTTCGAGGTTGTACAATATTTTCACAGATAATCACAAGATATATTCTATTTCTTTTATTAGATTTGTGTAGTTTATTAAAGATTTTAGTATAAGATTAATTATGTGTATGCTTTATTGAAAAATCTAATGTAACGATTTTAATACATGACAACTTCAGACCAATGAGATAATGCCACGTTTACACCATTCCTTTTACCCGCCAGCTCAGCATCAGAAAAAGGAAAAAAATATAAGTGATTTTGAATTCTCTGATTCCTGGTTCTTCGATTCTCTCCTCAATTCTCTGAGAAAATCCCCATCTCAATTCAGAAGACACTAATCGTTCGGTTTTAGGGTTTTAATTTCGCTTCGATGGCATCCAGTTCTTACAGAGGCGGTGCCAGCGGCTCCTTTTACGGCGATGCTGCTCCGTACAGATCTAGGTGTGGGTCGATTTATTGGTCGATCGTTGGAATTTTTTGCGATCAGTCCCTCGGATGCGATGTATTCAGAAAACCCATGATTTTTCGGTGTAAAATTCCTATTTTTTGGGTGTTAAATCGAATTCGGTTTTGGATTTTGGTTGCAGAGATGGGCTTAGCACTAGACCCGTTGGAAATTCAGACGAAATCCAGCTGCGGATTGATCCGATGCAATCTGACTTGGATGATGAGATCACGGGTCTCCACAGCCAAGTCAAGCAGTTGAAAAATGTAAGAACCCTAGAATTCTTTCTCGTCCTTTTTTTTAGGACATAATATTCCGATGATTTAGGAAACCGTAATGGACAACCGGTTCGTTTGGATATGTTCCATGTGTGTGGTTCTCAAGATTTGTGGCTCTTTTTCTCGAGCATTTGGATGATATCATAGGATTATAATTTGGATTGGAGTGTGAATCCTAATGTTTAGTGCTTTGAATTAGGGTAGTGTAGAGATTTTGTGTTGCTTCTCTTGCATACACATAGGTTTCAACTTTGAATATCTTGCCTTTGAAAATGGTTCGAAGGTCTCGGTAAAGATTTTCCCAAAAATTGAATTGATGATTTCGATTTTGCTGACGGTTTTTGATTTAATCGTTTTTTATTTCAAATTTTTCTCTGCTTGGGTTACTAATTCTGAAGTCATAGTGCAGATTGCTCAAGAAATCGGGACTGAGGCGAAATTTCAGAAGGATTTCTTGGATGAACTGGTATGTTAGTATTGCTTCAGTTCTTGATTCCACGAATTCCGCTTGACATAAATCTTCCGCATTCTTTTCTGCTTTAATCTGTTTGAACCCATCAGTGTAATATGCGATACCAAAATAGAGTTTTCATTTGCTGTTCTTCAAATGATTTTGTGTTCATTTTTGGTGATGGTGACTTTCAGTGTTTATGTTAGAGAATGAAGTTTGAATCGTGATGTCTAGCACAATATTATCATCTATCTCAATGAAGTAGGTCAATGTTGTGGGAAATGTCGTCATGTTCGTATTAGATATCAAGATCCTCACTGAAGTAGATTTATGGTATTGAGTTCAAGCCTCTCATCTACTAGGATTATTTTTAATTCTCTTTTTAGTTTCCATAAGGTTTTGTAAGCTAAAGCCAGACAGTTAGGTTTGGATGCATAAGAATGCATGTCATTTCCTTATCATTAGCCAATGTTTTCAATTATATTGTACTAAACTATACCCGGAATCAAATGTCGGATGGAATGCAAATCGATATATCATTCTTTCAGAACATTATTTACTTTGCATGTGACGAAAACAAAGATTCGATGATGTTTTTTGCGGTTGCAGCAAATGACATTGATGAGAGCTCAAGCAGGAGTGAAGAACAACATAAGGAAACTGAACATGAGCATCATAAGGAGTGGCAACAACCATGTCATGCATGTTGTTCTCTTTGCTCTCCTCTGCTTCTTTGTCCTCTACATGTGGTCCAAAATGTTCAAAAGATAAAAAAAGAGAAAACCCACTTTGGCAAATGAAGAAATATTGCTGTAAAGACATCCTCTAGAAGTGTAAGCTCTAAAAAGATTACCTTAGGTTTTGTAATAACATTATGACATCATTTTCCTTTTCTCGGTATTATATATATAGTGTTTGTTTCACTGAGTAGAATCCATTGTAGCTACCATTATTGAAACTATGCTTGAATTTATAAAAGAGATCAAAACTTTGGTTAGTTATAAAAGATGATGAAACCAGGGCCAACAATGGGTTATATGATAATTTCATTTGGTATGATACAAGAAGATGGTTGCATTCCTATTTCTTCTTCTTGGCCTGCAATGGTGAGGCTTGAGGAACCGCTTTCTTCTTGCCAAATGCTCGGCTTTTGCTTTCTGATTCATCATCATCATCATCGCTGTCATGACCGGTGTTCTTGTTGGAAAATGGCATAGACTCCGCAACAGTTTTCGCGTGTTTTCTTCTCCCCGCATCCAACTTGCCTTGTAGCTTCTGGTCGAGTGGATTGTCTGAAGGTCGGCGTTTCGTTTGCTTCGACACTTTTGCACCAAGACCAAGCCTAAGATGAAGATGTTGTACACAATTCAAAGACATTAATCGCGAAATTTACGTATAAAAATATCAGTTTGATTCAAAGTTAACATTGAGAAGATGTGTCTGTCATTTACCTATGAGGTCGAGCCTGTTCTGTTACGGTCTGTTCATCTTCTGCAGGCTTTGACATATCCTTGATCCATTGCTCAGCCTTGCATTTTTTTTAAAAAAAGGACATGAACACAGAGAGGAACTCAGTAGCATGACAAGCCAACCTTAACAACAACAACAACCACCATCTTAATCCTAAGTTTATTTGTGGTCGACCGCATGAATTATTTTTCTTCTATCATTTCGGGTTTGGATTAAGTTCTCCGAAACTTGTAAACGCTCAAAATCATTATTAATCACTCGTTACCAAGTGATTTTAGGTCTACCCCTATCTTTCTCCTATTCTTATGCTCTCTACCCTTCTAACAGAAACAACTATCGTTCTACGTCTTATATGGCCTAACCACTTGAACAAAAAACACCAACCCAATTCGAGTCCCCATCTGATGGTGTGCTGGGAAGGGAATATAATAGGCAGTCTTACCCCTACTTTTTATACGAAGAGACTGATTCGAACCCACGGCAAGTGAACTTGCCGTTGAGCCAAACCACTTGAACACATAACAAAAGAATTTCACTAACATCACACTTCACAAGCAAGGCAAATCCACTTTGGAGCTCCAAGAACAAGATGTGAGGTATTACAAGTTTAGAAGCTGTGTCCAATTTGAAAATCTGAAGAGGACCCTTCTTCTTCGATGTCTCACTTGTCATTGCATCCGAAAAAAGTTCCTGCATTTACCAGAAAAAGCAGCAAATTGACGACAGATGATCCACACACTGTCCTAATAAGACATGCCCATGAAATTTACAGACACGCCAAGAACAGAGAACAAGTCCTGTAATAATCCGCCGCTATTTCTTTACAAATCACAATCGATTTCCAAAATTTCACTAATATCACCACATCCCCAATACCTTAACCTACCCTCAATGGAGTATACTACCCAGAACAGTAATTTCCACTTTTCAATTGACGTACACAGTTTCATGAATCCGACAAGTAGGAAAAAAAAAACAGAAAGAGGCGAACCAGGAAAGTACCGACGAGGCTAAACAAAAAGATACGGCGGAGTCACGACGGAGAGACGGCGGCGTGGATTTGACGGCGAGGATGATCCGGCGATTTTTCCCCCCTTTAAGTTTATGATATTTAACCTTTCGGGAATTATAAACAGAAAATACATAATACGAATTATAAGCGGAGAAGGAAAAACGAGATTGAAATCGGCCCATTGGGCTGATGGGCTGGGCCTATTACAAAGTATGTCAACGTGGCAAATTTTGATTGGCTGTATGTTTTCGCCTACACTGCTAGCAATTGCAGAAGATAATACCTCTCAGACGTAGCCTTTATGGAGAACATTTGCCAATGCGAGAGCGAAGGGGAAAGGGATAAGGAAAAACAGCTTTGAGAAATGGCTTCAATTTCCATCTCCGCCGTGGCTTCGTCGACGTCTTGGCTCTCTCCGGGGACCGGAAAGTTCACTAGGGTTTGTGTTCCCTCCGCTTCACTGTCTCTTTGCTCGGGCTCGAGACGGAGCTCTTTCTCTCTCGCCGCCTCCGCCTCCGCTCGTTCTTCTTCTCCGTTGCTCCACTCCTCTTTCCTCCCTTCTTCTCTCTCCCTATCTTCTTCATTTTCAGGTAAATTTCCGGATTTTGGCTTCTGGGTTTTTCTGGGTTTGTGTTTTTCCCCGTCTTCGTTTGATGGGTTTTGATTGTTTCGAATGTGGGTTTGATTTTGGTGTACTCTGCTGTTTCTGGGTTTTGTTGGGTTTCTATGTTTTTGCTCTCTTCGACGTTTGGTAGTTTGATTTTTGGAATGTGGGTTTGGTTTTGGTCCACTTTCTCGTTTCTGGCCTTGAACGGGTTGACAGGGTTTGTCTCGGAATTCACTTCTGGAGAAAGTCGAGATTGAAGACAACTCCCTGAAATTATCCAAAATGATTTTGATTTATAATGAAATTCATAGCTTTGGAGATGTTGGAAACGGGCTTTTGTTTTCTATTAGCCACAATTGTGTTGGTTGAATGATCAGAGACTTCCCTTCTCCCTTAGATATATATATCTGTAGCTATGCACTGAATTAGTTTACCTATTCTGTCCACTGTGTATTATATTTAGGGTGAAAAGTTTGAATCTTTGGTGACCGGCACGAAGAATATCCATCGTGAACCTAACAATAGAGCTGATACTATGTGATCTGTGGCCTCAAGTTCATCGAAATTTCCCCTTTTGCTTTCAGGGTTATCCATAGAATTCAATCTGAACCTGTGTACGAGGGGGCTGAATGACCGGAGACGCAAGGGACTAGTGGTGAGAGCCGGAAAGTATACTCTGTGTCAGACGAAGAGAAACCGATCGAGAAAGTCTTTGGCCCGGACTCATGGCTTCCGCAGGAGGATGAGAACCACTAGCGGCAGAGCCACTCTGAAACGTCGACGTGCCAAGGGACGATGGGATCTCTGCCCGAAGTCGAACCCTAGCAGCGGGAAAAGGGCGTAAAAGCTTTGCTTCCTCTCTCTCTCTCTGCAATCTCTCTGTAACGTTTTCGGGTTTTTTTTTATAGCTTTTCCTCATCAGAAGATACATTGGGAACTCAGTTGGATGAAAGCTAAGCTCTTCTTGTTCTTCCCTTTGACTATGTCTTGGATTCTTTATGGTTATGAATGGTTTTGGCAAAATCTATCAAGTCTTTGTTATGTCTAAGTGTTTTTAACAGCTCAAACTGTTCAATATAAGATTGAAACCAAACCCTAAAACCATCATTTCACCATAGCCATAACACTTCAAAACTTCAATGCCCAAGCCAGTGGATAGAAAGCTTCCTCCATTGCCACACCTTTCTCGATGAGAACCCATATTTCTTCAGATTCGTTCCACATTTCCCATCATGTATACTGCCGTTGTAACGCATAAACCCTGAACCGGCCGCATCTAAGGCCACTGAAACCGGCTATATCGAGACACAGCCTTAAGCAATGCCTCCTCGTTTTCGCTGGAACTGTCTCGTACCCTCTGATCCGAAGGGAAGCTCTGACGTTGGAGAGGCATTTCATTTCCTCTTTGTTGCTTTGTAACTGTTTTCGGCGGCAAATGGCAATGTCTCAGTTTCGGACAGTGTAATGGAAAGATTCGGTCGTATTTGATGTCACATTCAATATTTGTGGCAATAAATTTGGCATCAAATATTACTTCTGAGATTTGATCTCGAGATATTCAATGAAATCATTTGAAAACTTTAGTTACATAATATTATGATAGATTATATCTTATTGTAACGGATATTTCGGTTTAAATATGACCGAATAGAAGCCATTCGGTTTCAATTATTATATGTTTATGAAAAAAATGTATATTTTTTAAGAATATTTTTTTATTTTTTTTCAAATTCGGTTCGGTTCGATTCGATTCTTTAGAAATATTACCGTTCCGATTTTTGAACGGTTTGATTCCAAAACGATACCGAGTTTTCGATATGGTTCGGTTCGAAAATAGTACCGAGTTTTTCGGTTCAGTTCGAAAACGATACCGAGTTTTTCCATTCGATTTAGAAACGTTATCGAATTTTTTTGGTACAATTCGATTAAAAAACGATACCTAATTTTGGGTATGTATATATATGTATATATATATATACATATTAATATTGATATATCTATATATAATAGTTAAGGCATTATATCAAAAATACCCTTAATTTGCTATTTCTACTTCAAGACCTACCCTTGTGACCATGTGACCAATGTGACCGAAATATAGTATGGTCACATTTTGATTTTATCGATTATAATGTTAAATTTATGGTGATCACACTAATTCATTATGTTCATACCTTGTATATCTTACTAATCATTTGTTTAAAACATCATAAATTTAACGTTATGAACAATGAGATCAATATGTGACCACACTATATTTCAGTCACATTGGTCACATGGTCACAAGGATATGTGTTGAAGTAGAAATAGCAAAACTAGCACATTTAAAATAATTAATCAAATGGATTCACTTATTTATATTTATAATTGGGTCGGGTCAATCCAACCGGGCTATCTTGACATCTCTACGCATGAAATACGTAGAGCGACATGCAAATGTGGAAAAATACACCGCCAATTAGCAAATATCATTTTCGGTGATTTAAAAAAATTAAAATAAGATGGAAAAAAGAGAGAATATCTCAGAAGTTACAAAAAATAGAAAGTTAGCAAAATATCTCCAACGTATTTTCCACTGCATTTTATTTCGTCGGACAAAATACGTGTTTGGTCTTGACTCGTTTCAATTTCCCGTGTCGAATGGATTATCACAATACCCAAGTTTCTAACGAATCATTATAAAAAAATTACCAAAAAACATTATTATAAAAAAATATCATCTTAGATTTCATGAGGAATTTTTCACCATTCGTACAAAAAAAAAAAGATTTCTACAATTCACTGAATTTATTTGTGTTTATATGCAACTGCAGAAGGTTAAAGTCTTCATGACTCCGACCAAGATCCTAAGGAATGTGGATTTTTTTTTTTACTTTCAGAATAATAAGAAAATAAAATTATAAAATAAAAATGAAAAATACAAAAAAATGTGCTTTTTTTTAATAAACTATTTCTAGCTATAGTTTTCAAAGAATTTGGAATCAATAGAAGATTGTTGTTAAATTTTTTCACCGTTGTTGAAGAATTTTGTGTATAAATAATTAGTTTTAAAGGATTTTGGTGAAAATAGATAATTATAAAGAAATTATTATAAAATTAAATGAGAAAGAAATGAGTAATCCAAATATATTATCATTTTAAATAAAATAAAAAGAGTTTTAAAAGATTATTTTCTAATTTTTGGTTGCTAAATAGATAATTACGAAGAGATTATTATAAAAATAAATGAGAAAAAAACTATAACTCAAATTTATTATTATTTTAAATATAATTATTTTAATAAAATTTATTGTTATTAGATGATAAAGATTTTGAAATGGATGAAAAAAAATAAAGAGGCGCATCCCGGATCGTCACCTAGTAAATAAGAAAATAAAGATTATAAAAAAAAAACTCAAGAATACAAAATTTTTTTGCCTTGTTTCAAAAAACCAAAACCACATTTTTCTAGATTTATAAACTTATAAAATCTAAAAACCAAAAACCAAAAACTAAAAATCAAAAACTAAAACCAAAACCTCAAAATAAAAACTAATGTCATTCAAGACCATGAGAATCGACCTGCTACATGCACCAACTTGCATTGTGCAAGTTGGCTCCATTCCTCCAACACTTGGGAAATGGTTATAAATTAAAAAATTCTGTAATAATAAAAACAATTTAATCCCAAATTTATTTAAAATTCAGACGTAATAGTTCTTTTATTCCATTCATTTTGGTTTATATTAAATCGTCCAAAATCTATAACCGGTCGAAATTTCTCTCAGTTAACTTGATATACAACCTGTTTTACGTAAAAAAACATTTGGAAAATGGAATAATTCATCTTAATTAATTAAGAATATTTTTGTTTAAATGTTAAAATACTCGTATACTATATGTAAAACACTAAAAAAACTTTTGAAATAGATAATTTTCTGTATTTTGAGTTTTTTTTTATAATTTTATTTTTCGTATTATTCTACGACAAAAAAAAGATCAAAATCCAGAATGTGTCATTATAAACCACTTTGAAATTTTGGATTTCATCATTATCTAAGCACTTAGAATTAAATGTGTGACTGTTGAAGAAAAAACAAAGCAACATATCTATTTACAGTTCTGTTACTTTAAAATTTATAAAAAAATGATAATAATTTGTTTATAATTTTATATAAACATTAGATTTAGAACTCTATTCACAGTTCTATTTCTTAAAATAAAAAATGGTTATAATTTGTTTATATATATATATATATCTATTTCCTTAAAGCTTATAAAAATTATTATAATTTTTTTTTTGGTTAAAGGTGCTGTATTTTCATTAACTTCAATAATATTTACAAAAAATTGAGTAAGGCATTACAAAGTATATACCCTTCAGCAAGATCAATTCTCATATGAAAGCGGCAAAAAACGTACGCAACCAAAATCATCTAAAATGGGCTGTCAATTGATACCAATATTCAAGCAGTGTGTTATCTGGGCTACTCCGTCCTTCCACCTTCAAGGCGAGTAATGTGTCTCGCATAGTGCGGTCAACCTTCCTACGAACTTCCTCATGGCGCCGAGATTTTTGGCGGAATATTCGATTGTTCATCTCCCTCCATAATTCATACACCACGATTTGAATACATAACTTCACTAGTTGAAACTGACCGTTGTCCCGACCTATGCTCCGGCTAGTTATCCATCGGAGACATGATTGGACGTCTTCTGGTGGTGACGAACCACAACAATCCGCCAGTGGTTGCCAAACATTCCT